GGGCACCTGCAGAGGGGCAGCCAGGCAGATTGGAAGAGGGGAGGACAGAGTGATGAGAAGAAGGAGGGGAACCTCCCTGTGAACGAGCAGGTAACCAACGTGCCGCCGAAAGTATCCTTGCCCCGCCAGAAGGCAACAGACATGACCTCCTGAAAGGAAGACACATTAAGGAGGGCCCAGGTCGCCCTTACCTCATGAGCCCCACTCTTACCCTTGCCCGAGCCTGGTCATCCGAGTGCTCATAAGCATATTTGATGACCTGGCAAACCCACCTAGACACCGACTGGGAGGAGATGTGTCGCTGTCCCTGTTTGACGGGCAAAAAAACAGACGGGATCTGGAGCCCCCCACCCGGTTTTATCAAGATAAAAGCTGTGAGTCCTACAGGGACAAAGCAATCTATCTCCTCCGAGCTAGTCAAAGCTGGAATCTTGATCGGATTGTGCGAGAACCCCGGGACCTGATTCTTCGCAAGGGACGAATGATCAATGAGTAGAGTAACGGCAGCGTATCCTCTGAAGAAAGTGACGACAAGGCGTGCACTTCGCTCCTCCTACGTCCAGAGGCCAGAGCCAAAAGGAAGACTGTCTTGAAAGTAACAAACTTCAACAAGGCAGACTCCATAGGCTCATAAGGAGACCTCATCAGGGAATCTAGCACAAGGGCTAAATTCCACTGTGGAGCCAGCTGCCGAAGTAGTCGAATCGGTTCCTGAAGGCATGCGAGTGTACCACCTCTCCATGTCTACACACCATAAATTTACATCAACCTGAACAGCGTTTGGATTTCTTCATCTCCACTCAACACTACACCACTCTTCATTCTCAACAAAGAAAAGAAGTTCACCCACTACACTTTATCGGACACCACTTCACTTTATTGGTCCCATAACATCACTTTATCCTGTCATGGAGGCATCCGTGAATAGGGTCATAGAGGGGACAGGCTTGGTCAGAGGAACTCCGCGGAGAACATTCTCCCGAATGGTCCACCAGCAAGTGAACTCCCTGACCGACTGAGTGAGAGTAATCCAGGCCTCCCACTTCCTGGATGATGGAACACAGTTGGACAGGAGGAACATCTGGAGAGGTCCGATGTGAAGCCTCCCGAGGGGGACCACATCTGCCAGGGCGTTGAGATGCACCAGAAAACTGAGGAACCAACCCACCTGGACCTGCGACTGTTTGATGAAGGACAGAGCTAGAGCCCTGGCCTTTTGGAACTTCTCCACCGGTGGAAGGGCTATGCCCAGAACCGTATCGAAACGATTCCAAAGGAAGACGAAGTCCTGAGATGGGGAAACCTCTGACTTCTCTCTGGAAGGAATGAAGCTGACTCTGAGCAAGACTTTCAGGACCAGCCAGGTATCCTTCAAGCGATTCCCTCACCCTGTGAAGCATGAGGAAGTCGTCGAAATAGATGTGGACGTCTATTCCGCGAGAGTGTAGGAATCCCACGACTACCTGCAGCAGTTTGGTGAATACCAAAGGAGCTGTCGTTAGCCCGAAGGGCATGGCCAGGAATTGAAAGACCTTGCTGTTGCACGTGAAATGAAGGAACTTCCGTGCCAACTTCTTGATGGGGATATGGAAATAGGCATCCTTCAGATCTACCGAAGTTGCCCACATTACGTCCCTCACGGAGACCATGATGCCCCCGTGGGGTCTCCATCTTGAAGTGAGGAGAATCTATGTGCCTGTTGAAGGCACCGAGATCTTTAATTGGACGCCACGCCCCGGACTTCTTCCGAACAAGAAACATTCGGGAATAGAAACCGGGAGTGATTTCCGACATAGGAATCTCCTCTACCGCGCCCTTTGCAAGCATGGTCCCTACTTCCTCCTGTATCGCCCGAGCCTTTTCCAAATACCCCGGAGGAGGAAAGAAAATCGGCTGGGCGGTAAGGAGCAGATCCCGAAGAAAAGGGATACCTAGACCCTCCTTGACCACTGACAAAGCCCAAGCGTCCTCCGTAATCTCCTGCCACAGGAAGTTCCGGATGGGGCAGATCGAGTCCCTGCCAAACCAGAATATCGTCTGCCCACCCGGAGTCTGACCCTGCGGAAGAAGGACAAGAGCCCTGAACGGGAGGACTGCCGTCCATCTGGCCAGGCCCTTGTTCTGTCGCGGCCAAGGAGAAGAAAGAGTCAGGAACCCTTCTTCTTGCCCCCAGGAGGTTTCTTACCCTTCCTCTTGTTGCGCTTGAAGCGTGGCTGTGATTTGGGTTGCACAGAAGACTGCGCATCCGAAAACAGCTGTGCTGGTTGAGGGGCCAGTTGCCCATCATGTGTGGCGTAGTCAAAGGTAGTAGCCTCCGACAAGTCACCAACACTCGAGCTGCAGACCGGCAAACCTAGGGGTGCGGGAAGTGGAAGAATTCTTCTCTAACACCCGAGCCCGGGCAGTGGCCAGAGCTGAAGTCTGATCAGATCGAACGGAAGCCCAAGGAGTCACCAATGAACCTAGAAGGGTGGTGGATTCAGGCACTGACGATGCAGCATCCGGGAGATGTCGGCCTGTAGGGCCCGCATCCCCAAAAGCACATGCTGAGCCTCGGCTTCAGCGGTCTTGGGGGCCCCCTACCCCCTAGGAACCCTCCTGGTCGGAAGGGTCATTGTCAGATGACTCCGACGGATCGATCGTTGAGCACCCAGGAGACAGATGGATCACATCGTCATCCTCTGCCGAGCCCGCGCCCTCAATGTCCATCACCTCCTTGATAGTGACCGAAGGGAGGAACAGGGGCCGCCAGAGGAGCCCTCTCCGGAGAGGGGGACTCCTCTATAGGGGTTTAGATGACAATTGAACCAAAAACTTCCCGATGACTACGAAGACAAACTAATAGAATTCCAGAGATACATTATCAAAATGAGGCAGAAATATGAAATTGACCTGTGAAGGAGTGGGAATGCCGACCAAACACCACTTACTTTCGATCTCCCCTCAGAACTACTATAGCCCATCCAATGGTAAGACCATGTCCATCCGAACGACGGGAAACGAAAAAAATAGATTCACAGTAATGCTAGCGTGTATGGCCGATGGCACTAAACTTCCAACTTGCGTCATCTTTAATAGAAAGACCCTACCCACTGGAAACTTCCCAAAGGGATTGATTGAACGAAACGACAATGAAAGAGTGGCTGCGAATCGTATGGGGGAAGAGACCTAACACTCGCCAGAAGAACCTTCTAGTTCTAAACTCATTCCGGTGTCACTGAGCCCCCTACATGAAAGAAATACTGTCTGATGACAACACACAACTCGCCATCATACCCGGAGGAATGACCAGCATCCTTCAACCCCTCATTGTAGGAGTGAATAAACCCATGAAGGTCTCCCTGTGCACTGCCTGGAACGAGTTTATGATGGACGATTCTAAACATACATTCACGAAAGGGGACAAACAGAGAAAACCACAGCTGACCGACATTTGTGAGTGGATCGTCAATGCATGGGATAACCTCGACCCCCAGATTATCGTCAACTCATTTCTGAAGAGTTCCATCTCCAACCCCTTAGACGGTAGCAACGACGACATTTTGTGGACAGACGATACCGTCTTCACCCGTGCCAGTGGACACGCTGTTTAAGATGACATGGAGGATGAGTGCGACATCTTCTATCACGATGACGAGATAACTGAGGCAGACTTCCATCCAACAACTTTTTTCAATAGTGATGATGAGGAGGAATTTGCAGGGTTTTAGTGACTACTTGTATAGTGATCAGGGACTGTGTTAAGTGAAAAGTAAATTCCGTGATATTAACTGCTTAGTGCTCTATGGATTATTTATCGTAAGTACCATGGTACCTATTACACTATGATTAACTGCTTAGTGCTCTATGGATTATTTATCGTAAGTACCATGGTGTCTATTACAATATGATTAGTTTAGTGCTATTGTAAACTTGTGATTTATGATGACAGATGTTATTGTCTTTATATAGATGTATTAAAACATTCGAAATTAGGAACTTTCCCTCCAAAAGGTATCAACCAATAAAACACAGGTCAACTAAAAGGTCATGTCAAGGTCAAGTTAGTTCTGGACATTACATACATATATATCATGCACACAGGACATGGACAGTACATGCTCAACTGGACACCGCAATGATGGGTAGATCGCATGATCATACATACATAGAACAAGTCCAGGTAAAAATCTATTTATATCACAGGTAGTGTGAGTAGACACTGTACTATATAGATATATAATATATCTATACATACATACATACACTGCATCAAAACCATTACAATGACTTGACCTGTACTTCATATTATATAAGAAATGATAAAATTAAAACAACATGACAAATGCAAATGACTATAATTACTGTATGGTGAAATAGTTCACCTGGCCACATTAACACAATTTAATGTATCTGCTATTGATTAATATTTTACCTGTATCTACATATATGTAATTATATCATAAGTATCAATCAGTATATTCGCTTCATTACTATTTGATAACGTCTGCGATAGTGTAATAGATAAGGTCGTGGTGACAACAACCAGTTACAAGGCACTTAACCTTGCTTTTCTTGTTGTTTTTTAGTTTTTTTTTCCATCAGGTTATCAATCAGCAATGATTTATTATAGATCAACAACTTGTTTGTTTCAATCCATTTATGTGTTTACTTGGTATGTAAAGCATACTCCGAACATAACTGACTCTGATTATTTAATGTTGGCAATTACTGAAATAAATAACCAAGCATGTTTCTTTCATGCTATTTGTTTTCTTTATCATTATTATTTTTTCAGTTCATTAATTATCGAAATTACTACGCCATTGTCACTAAATGACAACATGACACCAGAAAAATAGATGAAAGGAATATTTTGTATATTTGGAACTTTTGGTACATAAAAAAATAGAATCTCGTCCCAGCTGAGCGTCGAACTCGTGTGGATAAATTAGAATGTGGAGTCTCGCGCCAGTGGTCAGATCTCGAGCGAGTGTGCGAGATGTCAACATCGCAACATGGCAGGAAGTCGGTCTTGACGGAACTTGTCAAAGAAGTTGTCAGTATTTTGTGTCTGGACAGAGAATGGTAAGACCAAATAAGCCGCTTTCAGTCGGTTACTAGATACATGTTCATAACCTACATGTTAAGTAATTATAGTGCACAAACATTCTACGTAATACTATCTTGCACTACGCTTACATACGCCTGCAGCTGGGAGGGGGAAAAGAGAGGAGTGATGGGATCACTCTCGCTCTTGTACCCCGCGGTGACTGGTGTAGCTATTATGAAGTTTGCGTCGTTACAGTATACATGCTCAGGGTAAATGCATAGTAATCTGGTCTTATTATGACGAGTCCTTGTACCAGATGTTTGCAGTAAGACTTTAACATGCCCACGTGGAACATGCCTCTTCATAGAACTAAAACACCATAGTAAAATCATAACAGGACCTTGCTCAGGCCTCTTGTTCTGAAGAACCAACACCTAAGTTGAGAGATAGATTTCACAGTCTTCTGTCGAGTCATGTCATTATTGTAGATGACAAACCCAGTATGACAGAACAACAGACATACATTCATTCTTGACTGATAGGCAGCACAAGTACTGATTAAATAGGTTTTAAGTTTGGTATTTAATATATATTGTCTAGACATCGGTTCCGGACCGTTATGTATTTCGGTCCTTTTGTCAAACCATTTCACATGAACTATTGACCTGGTTGACCTTGCATCTGAATCATTTTTGTTGCTGTAACATGTTACGCTGCCAGAAAGAATGAAAATTTGTGATTAAAACCATTTACCATAAAATTTTGAGACTGAATTTTTTGGCAAATTTGTGTAATTTTCTTAATACACAGTTTTACATGTCAAACATCCTTTCAGATATGAGGAAATCCATCCTCAGATGCCAATGTATTGTTTTCATCTGTCATGTAGATAAAAATTGGGCATAAATAATAGACCATGTCCGCTTACAATTTTTTGGCTATGGAAGTCATGGTTTATATTGAAAAATGATGATTTAAGAATTATCACCTTTGATTACTCATTTCTGATTTTGTCCAGCTAGTGAGTTGTTCACTGAGAGAGGAAAAACAACTTTCTTCAAATAGCTTGTGTTACAAAAAGAAATTTACCAAGAAATAGTCCTTATTTGAGAAAAAAGAACTAAACAATAAAATCTGACCTTGTAGAAAAAAGCATCGAAACAAACATCCACCATTTTTGCACCATTATTTTATTTTGATGTTTTTGTCATCAAAATGTAAATCCTGATCAAACAATGACTATGTAAAACATGTGCTTCTGGGTCACTCTAAGCTAGCTCAAGTGTCTGTGATTAAGCGATTTCATCAGAAATGAAAGATTCCCATTTGGAAGTATCCAATACACATGTTGATCATTTCAGGTGAGCAAACATAAGTCTGTCTCCATTTCATACTAATGTAATAGGAAGTAGTAATGAAGTACATATTTTGTCTCAGCAGGGGCTCAATCTAGCGACCTTTCTGTCTCTAGTCGGACACTGTGGAACTTTCCTCTATCTGAGGTTACATACATAGTCTGAACTCTCAGCTTCTGTATGAATGTGTGAAAACTATTTCTGTGGCTAACATAAGAGACTGACTTCAGGCTACAGGCCAGTTTTGTGCTACCTGCTACAAGATGCCTCTCTCAAGCCTCTTGCAGTGTTAACCTTGTTGTAGTTTGTTAAAACATTAGTTTCTGTCACACATGGTGGTGGTATTTACTTTTTGGGGTGTTGACTAAATTAATCAATGGTTACACAACACTTACCTATCTATATTTAGCTACAAGATATTTATTTTTCCATCAGGTTGCTGGAGGAAGATTTGTCACTGTAGGATGTGGATGCTCCTATGGAGCCAAAGTTTGATCTCGACCTCCAGCAGGTGACCTTTGATGAGGGTGACCTTTCACCTTCTAATGAGCTTGACTCTTTCAGCAATATTGTACACTATGACTCGCACTTCTCTGTAGGCAGAACAACTTCTGTCACGACAACTGCTAGGAGCTACACACAATCAAACACCAACAAAGGTAAATATACTGTATATGCTGTACAGGATAGCTGTAGTAGTGTATTGAGAATCCATTAACCCAGCGTTTCGATGTTGTTAAGAGTCATCAGATGGCCAAATTGACTATACTTTCAGATGATATTAAAAAAACCAACATGTTGATATATAGAAGTATTGAATTTTCATTTCCTAATCTGTATATGAAATGTCAGTATTGAGAGGAAAGAATTTTGTATTGTAATTTAAAGAAAGAAATAATTGTACATTGTGAATTCATCCATAAATTATTAATTTAAGAAATTCTTAAATGGCAGCAATATGATTTTAAAATTTTTCGTATTGTCACTGTAGATATATGATGGCAGGAGAGATTTAAGGAAGCATAGTTACAAAGTTAAAAGGTAAATAGATATTTTAACAGTTAAGAATTTAAGTTAAAAGTATCAGTTTTAATAATATGCGAAATACTAATATTTGTTATAGAAGAGAGACAGAACAGTTTTGTAAACCGTTCCCGCGCTGTTCCACAGCCAAGTCGATTGAAGAGCTCCCAGGTGTACTGTGAGTCTGTGTGTTCTTCACACGCTGAGGAGGACTTGCATGCACTAATCAACCCTGACGACGGTTACGTTACTCGCAAAAGTTTCTCAAAAGTGATACCCACAGACATAAGGACTTTGTTCCAGGTAGGATTCAGTGATTAAAACCAAGCGACAGCTTATTTGGTTCTGCTTAAAGTTTAAATAAGTTTCAAGCTTAAATGATGTTTCACAACTTCTGTTTCAATTAGTTTCAAAAAAATATTTACATGTAAATTAGCTATGAAGAAAAGAATATTAACAAATACATCCTGATCAATACCACTTGTGAAAGAAAGATAAGTGTATGAATGTAGATAATTCCTCTTTAATACCAGCCGTCTTTATTTATGCCAGTGTTTCTGTTTTCTGAAAGTTTGATTACTTTAAAAATGGTGTTTCCAATGATTCAAATCTTTATGTTTTTGAAAAAAAAAAGATAAAATTTGTTTCACAGAAATCATGAAACTTCCTAGATTTTACTGTTGATTTTAATTCCGAGGTATTTCTTCTTTGAGATTTTATTTCATTTTGTGAATTTATTTTGCAATTTAATTTCAGTTTGTATGAATTTATTTTATCTTTTGCAATTTTTTCCATTCTGGAAATTAGCGAAAAAATTTGAACCTGTTGAAAATAACAACCTTGACAGTATATATATATTGAGATTCTACAAATTGTCTGTTAACACTCATTTTCTGGTGGAGATCTTCATAACTCTATTAGAAATCTATACACGGTGATATTAACATAGATATGGTATAAAGGGTTGATAGGATTCCTTAGGTTAACGTCAGTGTTTCTAAAAATAGGACAAGGGGATACACTGTCAAGTAAAGTGGATATCTGGTAAGTTGCACAGCAGGGGTCCTAGCTTGCTGACAGTGTATGTTTTGCCCATAGTGGCCAGGGTTCACCCCAGCTGTTGCCAAAGTCGCATTTTGCGGTAACAAATTTTAATTGGCGATAAATAATGTTAAGTTTGGCAGTTTTTTGGTGACAAAAAAAATCATCAGACTGTCTTATCCAGGTGAATTCACAGCCAAATTAACTACTAAGTGTCATGTTATGACAACTAATCCCCTCCAACAGGCAGGTACCAGGCAAATGGTGTGTACATAGTAGACAATAGAGTAGACTAAGTGTAACTCATGACATTGGGGATATAACAAAAATGATTAAAAAGAGTTATCATGAGCATCCTACCTATTATGATAATTAGTACTTTTAACAAACACTAGGTTTAGAAAAACACAGTCTTTATTTTTAAAAAAAAATTGTAACAAAAATAGCGAGGTGTTTCCTCTTCAAATTAAAATCCTGTTTTTTTTTCATGAATGAATACCTATGTAATAAATACAACTATAAGTATGAAATGCAATGACATTTACTAGAAACATTTGCAGTTCTAATGCAGCCATTTGATAAATATTTTCCCTCCATCTCCACAAAAATCTTAATGGTTGACATACAAAAAGTTAGTAAATGGGACATGTTATGTAGTACCAAAAGTGATCTGGACCCAAATTCAGAAATAGTTTAAACAAAACATTTATTCCACACAATTTACATGAAATTATGACAAGGAAAATTGATAACTCCAGTCTAATATTTCATAGAAAATATCTAATTCTAAATATATTCAGGGGTCAGGACTCCATTCATTTGGTCACAAAATTTTCAATTCACAATTTTTTTCATAAAATATGAATACCATGTACATGACAATACTACCAAGAATACTTTTTCTTAAGCTACCTTATATATGTTTAAGATCTTATTGAAATAAGAGTACTGAAACTGAAGGTGATTTCTTTATTACAGATTATATAGATATTTAATCATATTTAAACAATAAGCTCTTTTATTTAAACATGAATTTTACCCAATTATATTTGTCTCCTAAATTTATCATCTGGTGAAAAAATATCAAATTTGGCAAACTTTTTGGCGTAAGATTTTTAAAAGCTGGTGTGACCCCTGGTGGCACATGTATGTCATTAACACTGCTTTGTAGTGTCATTAATTAATCAACATGTACAAATGTCCTGGCTCTGGGTTATATAGATCATCTTAACCAGACAAGATTGTATGGCACACACAAATGTATTATATATGGTATAACAAAATTGCTGAAATTAGTTGGGCTGATTTTTACCTTGTAACAAAAAGTAGACAATAATATTTATTAATGAATTTCTTAAATGCAAACAAGCAAGATTAGTGACCTTAAACTCTATTTCATTTCAAAATTTCTTAATGAATTTAATTCTATATAGAAGATGTAAAAACAAAATATGCTTATATAGTGAGGCCCTGTCCCAGAATTATTTCAGATTTTGTATCTATGAATTGAAAGACGGACAGAAAATCTGAAATCAATATAATGGTATAATATACATAAAAAATTCTTAGGGAGAAAGTCTTTTGGAAAGGAAAATGGTGTGACAGTCAAGAAGCATACAGCCTAAAGTAATTAGCAACTGAATTTGTTTCTTTTTGGGATATTTACAGGTTTCTGCAAACACCACATCTATACGAAAGAAAAAGATCACCAAGCTTAGGAAGCCATTCATTATGTCTGTCCCTGACACTGGGACCACTGACCCCACCCTCCCTAACAAGGATGGGGCTCCGGCATTTGAGAGTGTGGCTGAAGCTCTACACCTGCAGTGGTCAGTTATTGGTAGGTACCTGGTCATTGGTCAGTGTAGTGTACAGGTCCAGGGTGGACAAAGTCTGTTGCTGGTACATTTATTGTTTTTAAAGTTTATATATCATATAAATGCATGTAATACTGTTAAATATTCTTTCTTTGGAAGAAACAGTATTCTAGACTTTTTTGGTACAAGTATCTGTTACATATTTGCTTGAATTATCTACTTCAAGATCCAATGAAGTTAATACATCAGAGCAGAGAGATATAAGTATAAAGTTTGTATGATGGATAATAATGACTGTATACACAAAATTCTTAGTAAGATTTTGTAAAAGATTTTTATAATGCACAGAATTTACAAAAAACAAAACATTTAACAATGATTACATAACAAAATAAGTAAAAAACGAAATAAGTAAAAAATGAAATAAGTAAAAATCAACAATCCAACAAACTCCAAATTTAAGTAAGGAATAGAGACCTATGAATATAGTGATGTAGTAAAGGTTTTCCAGTGTTTTCATCAATTTGCAGTCAAATTCATTTACAGGAAACCACACAGAAACCTTAATGGATAACAACATGTTCTTCAGTTGAACATACTGGTGTTGCATTGACTTTTCAAAGTATATAACCAACAATTTATAATTAAGCTTAAAGAGCTGCAAACTAGATATTTATCTTGATTTACAGGTGACAAGAAACTGACTCCAGCTTCACCTGAAGTTGTTGCACAAATTGTAGCCGAGGCAGAAAGGAAAATGAAAGCACAAAACCAAGGTGTTGCTCAGGTATGTAATTAAGTGAGCTCAAAGATTCAGAATTTTTTCATACTTTGATACAACAAAATCATGAAATTAATGGATTAAGTGTGGTTCATTGTTACCTCCAGGGAAAAGTGTAATTAACATTAACAAGAGGGGCTGTAAAATTAAATAATCTTTATTATTTTACAAGAATTGAGAAAAAAGTTATTCCAATTTAGTATATTTGTGGGATGTGCATATCAACAGTCAATCACGCAGGGTAATTTCTGGCTTTTCAGCTTTTTGTTTAATCATTGTGTCTGTTCTGCTACATTGATAGTATTTACTTATTTTGTATTTCTGTTAATTTTAGGAGAGCATGTCAACCACAAGACCTGTTGTCACACCCTCTGCCTCGCCAAGTTATAATGGAAATATTTCAGCTAACAATACCCCTTACCCACAGAGTGCCACCCTGACGAACATTCCAAACAACACTCCTGTGTCACAGTATCCAAGTCAAAAAACAGAAACATCCACAGTGTCATCATCAAGTTCACTGTTAGCTGGTCCAGTATCATCTCCAGTGATAGTTAGGGGTGATGGTAATTACAAGGAAGAAGTTTTATCAGGGGAGAGAACTCCAACAAAACTTGAAGTATCCTCATCTCGTTCCCCAGAACTTATACAGATACCAGCTGGCAGCATCACAACTGTGAAGGAGAAGACATCATGGTTTGGTGGAGGAAGCCGGGTCCCTCTAAATGCCCCTACTAAAGGGAAGCTTGTGTCTGAGGGCAGGGAAAGTTACACCCCTGGGGGAGAGGACAGTGAGAGTGAGACAGGCTCAGGGGTAGGGGACAGGGATGAAAGTGTTTCTAGTGCTACAAGTGAGCTTGACAATCTAATTCAAAGTGATACAGACAGTTTTCTTAAATCTCTTCCTCCTGTTAAGGAAGTTGACATGAGTATGTTTGCATCAAAACCACATGTTGTACGTAGTTACTCACCTCCTGTGAAAGAGACTTCCTTCCGTCCGCTTCAACAAAACACTGCTGCAAATATAACCTCTGTGACCTCTGAAGGTGATAGATCACCAAGTAAATTAGCTTCTAGTGACCTACATCCAAACTCTTTAAGTGATTCTGGAATTCCAGGTTTAGAAACAGAACCCACACAAATGGAATTTCAGCCCTCTAAGCTTTCATCAAGTACGCCAAGCAAGCCTAGTTTTGTCATTCCTCAGACTGGACCATTGTTTAAACAACTTCACAAAATATTACCTAAACAGCCAGCAGCTGGAAGCCTTGAAACCAAATCAGACGGAAAACAACTGGATGCTGTCTTAAGAGAGAAAGCCAAACTTGAAGGCCAGTTGGAAATGTTGTCTGAAGAAGCTGCTGTGACTCGTCAGGAGCGGGCGGAACTACAGGCCCAACTTGCCTCATTGAAATTACAATTGGAGACAAATCGTCAAACAGCCAATGATGTCCAGTGTGAAGCCCTCAAGACAGAACTTGACAAGATACAGAGGTCAAAAACTCTTTTGGAGCAGTCATTGGGTTCAGCTCATAAATTTCTGGAGGAGAAAAGCTCAGAGTTTACGATACAACAGGAGGAACTTCGAATGTCACTGGAAGCAAATGATAAGCTTCAGATCAGGATGAAAGAAGTTCGAGATGATGTACGTGCGAAAGAAATGACAATTCAAGCTTTGAAAAATAAAATTGCTGAACTATATGTTGAGGTGCAAACAGTACTACAAGCAAAAATGGAGTCAGAAACAGAAGCCCGAACATCAAAGAATGATCTTGTGGCATTGATTAATACCAAAGACTGGTACCAGCAACAGTTAAAAGCTGCACAGGTAGCAAGGACAACATTACAACATGAACTAACCACACTTCAAGCACAAGTTTCCTCGCAAGGCAGCATCATCGAACGTCTCCGCACAGAAAACACCAAGCTTCGGCAGCAGACAAAGGATATACAACAAAAAGCCCTGCAAGATAAAGAGATGTTGGCGAAACATCTTGAACATATTGAGTCTGATATGATGCACAGAGAAGCTGCTTTCCAGGAAATTCAGCGGGAACGAGTTCTGATGGAGGATACATTTGATACCAAGCTGCAATCGGTCGAGCAGGAACGATCAAGAGCACATACGTTGATGAATATGACTTCCGAACTCGAGACACATCTTGACAAAGCCCAGGACGACCTTAAGAAAAAACAATCTCAAATTCTCACCCTGGAAAATGAACAAATAGACCTGATGAAAAAATTAGCTCTGTCACAGGAGAGTGTAATTGAACGTGATATGGCTGTGGAGGAACTACAACAGAAATTGATAGAAGTGGAAAGCAGTTTGAAAGCATTCCAATCCAGCCTAAGTGAGAAGGAATCTGAGATCTGGAAACTGAAAGAGGAGAAGGCTGCCGTAGAGATTTCTCTTCAAGCAGCAAAGGAGGAAAAACAGTCTGTTGATAATGCTCTTGCAAGCCTTAAAGATAATATGGGTAAAGTGGAGAAAAATTTCCGCCACATGAAACAAGAATTAGGAAACAGAACGGTAGAGTATAATGAACAGAAGAAAGAAACAGCAACTCTTCAAGAAGAATTGATCGTTGTAAAGGAGAAATTAGAGAAGGAAAAGAAAGGAAATCATGCTGTGGATAGAGAGAACGAGGAACACCAGATGGCCATGGATGAGATGAGAACACGGAAAGTCCATCTTGAAGAAGAGGTGAAGTTTCTAAATACAGAATTGGAAGCAGTGAAGGGAAGTGGGATAGAAAAAGAGAAGAAAGCGGAGAGCTTGGAGTCAGAATTACAAAACTTAAAGGAGAAACTAACTGAGATGGAACAAAATCTCGGAGAAGATAAAATGTCTTCAGCTTTGCTGGAGGAACTTCAGAGTGAAAATACAGAGTTAAAAAGTACATTGAAAAAATCCGATAAACAGCACCAGAAAGATTTGACAAAGCAAAAAGCCAAAGTTGCCAAACTAAACGTAGATCTGAAATCACTTCAAAGTGAACTCGCCCAGAGACAAAGTGTGTTGGAGTCGAATGCTGAACTATTAACGAGTAAATTACGAGAGATGACGGTGGAGAAGGAGCAGATGGAAACTGAGTTGTCAATGGCACACAGGAAGTATGATCTGAGCATGCTCCAACAACAGGATCAGCTGAAAACTGAATTACAGGTAAGAATGAAAGGTCATTGTAGCCGTAAAATGTTTTTGATCTGTTGAAGGTAATAATGTAAGAAGTGTTATACATATCTACTAAGTTCCTAAATTTGAAGGGATTAAAATGAAGTACAGAAATACAAGTCCCAGTACTTAACTGTGTATAGTTAAGTACTATACATGTACAAGGGTATATTGAGTCAGTGGACACTTACTAATCACCACAGTGCCAATCATTCTGTTTACAGTGTTGGCAGTTTTTAATATTCATGAAGGACTGATTTTTTTATATTTTAGAAACAGGAGTAACATTGCGGAAAGTAATTCTTGAAATTGCTTTTAGGGCCTAAGTCTATTACTTAACGATTTGTGTTTTGCATGAAGACATATTTGTAAATATAAAGAAAACATCAGTTTCTGTTTAACATGAAATAATTCTTTGATTGAAAATACACTATGTCTTTATAGTAACTTTAGTGGAAGGTTTGTAATTTATTTTATGTTGAATATCAGTGTATAGCAGCAGAGCTAGAAAATACAAAGCTCCAGAAACAAGCATTAGAGAATGATTTGATGGAACTTCAACGTGTGAAGGAGTTGGAAGTTCAAGAGTACAGTCAGCAGTTGTCTGCCCTTGAGACAGAAATAGCACGTGTTCAGGAATTACAAGTTGACACAGAAGGCCTGCAGCGGGATAACCAAAACCTGTCTCTGGACCTGGAGAAGGAGAAAGGTCGAGTAGAAGGTAGGTCAAGAGAAAAGGACATATTGACAAATTTTGTTTAGTGGGTAGAGTTTATAATCACTTAATGTCCTAGATCTACCATTTTATGTACCCGGCAATAACCCTATACCTGGTAATAAGCCCATGACGGATGATAAGCCCATCCAAATTAACATTGATAGCAATGTAAGAAATGCTATGGCACTACCCAGCAAAGAGTCTGCCTGTTATAAGCATCAGGAGAAGACAGTATCCTGTATTTAGTAATCCTGTGTCTTATTTATGTATCTGTCCATTCATCTGTCTCAAGTTTTGTTTGTGGATTTATATTCTAATGAAATTGTTTTAACATGTATTTCTTTCAGTTTTATTCCCTAATGCTTTTCATTTTGTTATTTCACCAATAATAAAAATTTACATGTACAATGAAGTACGTTTATCCCGTATATTCTTGCCTTTATGTAACATTTTAACAACAACATGTTTGCAGGTTTGATGAAGACCAACACTGCATTGAAGGAACACATCTCACAGCTTGAGGATGCTCTGGCTGGGCGTGAATCTGCACTTGTTGACCTCCAAAATCTGACCCGTGGGGAGGTTCAGGACCGTGAGAGGGTGGAGGCTGAACAAAGCCGATTGGTCCAGAACTTAGAAAATAAACTTACCCAAGAGAAGGAGTCACAAAGAGAGCTCAGAAAACAGGTGAAGTTTACCTTCCCAAAGACAAATAAAATACATGAAGAGCTGTTCAATTAAAACTCTGTCCTTGCTGAGAACTCTGGGGTTTTTAGAGAGATATACTATTAGATATTTTATCTATCAAACATCATATCAAGAAGAATTGAATAGCTTAAAAGACATTGTTTATCAATATTTTTCAGATTGGCACCAAAATTTCAGAAAATAAAAAACTGAAACGACATCTAGAATCAGTGAAGGCAGACAGAGATAGTGTCCAGCAGGACCTTGACCACCGGTCAAATGAGTTAGAGAATCTACGCAGTGAGCTGGACAACAGCAAGCAGCTAGAAGTTGTCCAGAGCAGTCAAATTAGTACAATGGATGCTGAGAATAAGTCGTTAGCCCATCAACTGGAAAGGGTGAGGCAAGAATTGACAGACAATCTAGCAAGGGAACCAATTATACAGGAGCAGATGACCGTAAGGATATTAACGTACTTTATTGATCTTTATAGTGTTTTTAGTCCGTTCGTCCATCTGTCCGTCCATTAACCACCCCTTTCTGCTTTGTAACTATATCCAACTCATCTTTATAAACCTCCAGTAGGTTTTCATTTATGAAATGAAGACTCTTAGCAAACTTCTGTAGGATACTTCACTGTGGTTTTGTTTGACTTGATTTGTGTTTCTTGCTCGCCTCCAGATATCTCTTTGTCTGTTGATCATCAGTGTCTACCATTCATTTATAAGAAATATTCTAGAGAATAAACTTAGGTTGTAGATCAACAATTTTCACAGTTAAATTTCTTTCATTTATTAAGTTCAGGTTTGCAAAGTACCTCCTAGAAAATTACATGTTACTTATTTTGATCTCAGAGTCTGCAATGGCAGTTAGAACAGAAGTCACGTGAGGTTGAGGCTCTCACAGGTCAAAGGTCATTGGCTGAACAGAGGCAAGGCATAGAGATAGAAGACCTACAAAAAACTGTACAGGTAAGGAATGAATCAATTACATACTTATAATGAAGTTGACAGTTTGTTCTATGTACCTAAAAGAGTGATAATAAGTGAGGACTAAGTCTGAGGACCAGATCTTGACATGTCATATTTTTTTGACCTTTGACCCATGTCTGGTAATAAGCCTATCCACATTTATTGTATTTTCTATACAAGTGTAAGTAAAGATTCTAGCAATGAGCCTGCCTTCCAACTTTTAAACAAAGTTTATCTGTTGGTCCCTTAGACTTGTTGTAGAATAACTGTAATCAGACAAGGTTGATATGTTGATGCATAACCTGATACGGTAATCTTTAAGATTCCACAACATCGGAGCTTTTACTGCTTTATGCTAACAGTATTTCCACTTCATACTAGTAACAAATTATTTGAATTAGAAATTGTTCTTAAATTTACAGAATCAGCAAACGGAGCTGGAGAATCTAAGACAGGAGCTGGCTGTAGCAAGACAGGAGAGGTCTGTCTCACAGACAGAGATGTCACAGCTACGTGCCACACTGAAAGCCTCTGTACAACATCACAAGGTAGATATATATATATATATACATATATATACCTAATAACCAGAGATATCACAGCGATATGTCACACTGATGGCCTCTGTACAACATCACAAGGTAGACATATATATATATATATATACACCTAATAACCAGAGATATCACAGCGATATGTCACACTGATGGCCTCTGTACAACATCACAAGGTAGATATATATATATATATATATACACCTAATAACCAGAGATATCACAGCGATATGTCACACTGATGGCCTCTGTACAACATCACAAGGTAGACATATATATATATATACATACATATACCTTATAAACAGAGATATCACAGCTATATGTCACACTGATGGCCTCTGTACAACATCACAAGGTAGACATATATATATATATATACATACATATACCTTATAACCAGAGATATCACAGCTATATGTCACACTAATGGCTCTGTACAACATCACAAGGTAGACATATATATATATATACATACATATACCTTATAACCAGAGATATCACAGCAATATGTCACACTAATGGCTCTGTACAACATCACAAGGTAGACATATATATATATACATACATATACCTTATAAACAGAGATATCACAGCAATATGTCACACTAATGGCTCTGTACAACATCACAAGGTAGACATATATATATATACATACATATACCTTATAAACAGAGATATCACAGCGATATGTCACACTGATGGCCTCTGTACAACATCACAAGGTAGACATATATATATATATACATACATATACCTTATAACCAGAGATATCACAGCGATATGTCACACTGATGGCCTCTGTACAACATCACAAGGTAGACATATATATATATACATACATATACCTTATAAACAGAGATATCACAGCGATATGTCACACTGATGGCCTCTGTACAACATCACAAGGTAGACATATATATATATACATACATATACCTTATAAACAGAGATATCACAGCGATATGTCACACTGATGGCCTCTGTACAACATCACAAGGTAGATATATATATATACACCTAATAACCAGAGATATCACAGCGATATGTCACACTGATGGCCTCTGTACAACATCACAAGGTAGATATATATATATACACCTAATAACCAGAGATATCACAGCGATATGTCACACTGATACAACATCACAAGGTAGACATATATATATATATATATATACACCTAATAACCAGAGATATCACAGCGATATGTCACACTGATGGCCTCTGTACAACATCACAAGGTAGACATATATATATATATACATACATATACCTTATAACCAGAGATATCACAGCAATATGTCACACTGATGGCTCTGTACAACATCACAAGGTAGACATATATATATATACATACATATACCTTATAACCAGAGATATCACAGCGATATGTCACACTGATGGCCTCTGTACAACATCACAAGGTAGATTAGGACATCCAAAACAAAACAAAACTCAAGTAGTTGTAATATGTATAGTGTTTTTACATCTTGATAAACAGACTTGTCACAGCAACATACCACACTGAGGGCCTCTGTACATATCTGTAATAATACCAACACGAATAGCTCTTATTTCATCATATCAATGTATGATATCCTGATTTACATCTTCCTGCGAAGTGGACATGCAAAGACATCAATAGATCCTAGTGTAGACTTCACGGGAATTGTGTACCTCAGTTGATACCATAGCTGTAGTATGTCTTTGAAGTCTTTACTTGCCTGAATTAGCTACGTACTGGTCAACACTCCCAGAAAGATTCATCACATTTGGACAGTTTTAGACAAAGGTCATTCCTAGGGATAAACTAGAGGTTTAAGAACTTGAAAGATGAAATATTGAATTTAGAGGATTAAAATTGTAAATACCAGGTATGTCTTGTCAAGGAAAGTGCTGGAGCTGACCTTCAATCCTGTATTAACGTTTAGGGGGAAAAAAGGGATAATATTGTTTTCATCCTGCAATCAACCTAGGGCATTCCAACTTGTGTCGACTTGGATTGATCAGTATATGTCAATGGGATAGCTTTTCGTGGTATTTATTGCTACTGTAAAAGATGTGGGTGGACATATTACCAGACAAAGTCATATTGACAGATCAATAATTATGATATAAAAAGGAAGTTTTTATAAGGTCAGGAAAAGGATCATAAAATTTGATGTTTCTGATGTTGGGGGTACAGGGAATCAATCATAAAAATTTTCCTCATTATAATCTTACCGATGTTGTTTTGGTGTAGCTGACTCGGAAGTTGAATGAGAATACAGAGCTGGAGGATAGAGGAGATATACGTGACGCTGGAACACAGGTGGAAAGTCGGGATCTTCCCATGATTCCACCTCTGCCGTTTGACCTTGACAGTGTAGAGAAGTTACTACAGAATTCTACAGTCAAAGCTCTGGAAAGCAAGTAAGTGGTCATCAAAAGGTTGTCACTGATGTTAACGTGATTGTAACAAGTAATAAAGTAGTCCCACCTGGTGTTTGAACTCCTGATTGGTTAGAATTGATATACAATGTACCAAATATGAGGATTTGTCTTTTAGTTGTCATGGTGATAAGTTGAAAGTTCTATATTAAGTGTACACATCAAGTGAGGCTAGGTTACATTTCCAAAAATTATGCAAATATCAAACAAGCAAAATGTGTTGTTAAGAATTTTCTTCTGATTGTTGTAGAATTTGTAAAATGAAAGTTCAGAGGTTGATAGAATGTTTTACTGGATCTGTCAGTGATTTTGTTATCATCAAACAATACTGACGTATTATGATTTATTATTGGGTCTGACTTCAATCACATTCCAATTAAATAATATTTCAGACCATTAGACAATCTGCAGACGTGTCTTAGTTCACTAAGGTCAGAGATCACAGGTTTACAGAAACAGATGGATGACCACATCAGCACTGTGGAAACTTCTACTCAGTCTTGGAGGTAAAAACTATTACAAACATATATATGTGTGTATTAAAAAGTGGGGATAATGTTAAAAAACATTGAATTGGAATAATCTTATGTTATGAGGCACTGATAACTGCTTCTGTTTATTTTGGAATAGATTTGCTATAACCTTAATGATCTTTCAATATCATCCGTTCAACCTTTGTCTTGACCTTTGATAATTTCATTCATTTGACCTTTTTACATTTACCTCAATTACCTGTGACATTTGCTAATTTGACCTTTATGACCTTTCAGTTCAGTGGAAGACCAGGTAAATGAATTGCGAAAGATAGTGAAGACAATAAATGGCACAAGCATGATGACCAACGGTCAAGGGATGGATTCTCTGGCCGGAGCTGGTGTGGCTGGAGTGATTGATATCTAAGTACACTTATGGAAACAACCCATGGGCAGCAGCTTTGTTTTACAATACTCCCTCCTATTGAATTGTCCCAGAAACTTTGAAAATCAGAAGAAAACAGAGATGGCTATAAAGAAAATTGGGTATAGCCAGATTTTTTTGATGATTTGTCTGTCTATACAGAATCAAATGTTCTCGGGAAAATCTCAACGGTGTCATTGTTTCATCAATTATTTTCACCAAATCTCTGTGTAAATTTTTTTTTCTTATATATTTTTGTGCATTTTGTGTTTGTATTCATATCATGATTTACTGCTGCCCCAGAGAAAGATCTTTGTAATTTATATTTTATAATTTTTCTTACCAGATTTTGTTTTCGTATCATCCGAGACAAATTAGAACTTATCATTTGTGTATATGTGTGGGTCACTGATCTGTTTTCTATTGAATAATTATTGATGACCTTGTTGCAGGGACTATATTTTAGTGTAAGTTGTATACTGACATGTTCAAATTCTAATGCATTAATGCATTTGTGGTTTCTTTTTTGGGGTCTGCAAATGGACCTTTTGATTACAACACTATGAAGGAGAGTATGACTTAAGCACAACCTTTTGTGATGTGATCAATTGTCAAATTTAATTTCTTTTTGTCTCTACGCAAAAATAAACAATTTCTGTAATTTTCAAGTGTATTTATTATTCCAGTTTAATTCAAAATCTTTATTGTCACATTTTTGTTTGTCAAGTCCATATTATTTATTGTATCTTTGATCTTCAGCAATGCATATGTGTTTCATATTATGCAGAACGTTACTCTCATGAAATACAAAAACTTTCTGTATGTGTTGTGTGGTGTATAATGAGAAAACTTTGATGATGTGCTGTATTCATCCCTAATTGTACAAAATGTTTCGTATTATTTTTCTTTGACAATTGCTGCCTTATAGACGATATCTCAACCTTGTCACCCTTCATTTTTATATGGGATTTCCCTTCCTTTGATCTGGTCAAGTTCATTGTTATATATAAGGTTGGGAAGGCTATTATTACTGACCCACCTGAAGTATTGTGTGTGGGGTAAATATAATTGGTGATGTTTATTTTTTTAATTGTTTTATTGTATTGTTGCTTAATGAATGAATGTTTTGTTTGTTTTTGGGGGGTCATTTTTAACAGGATTTCCATATTTTCATGTGCCAATAATATGTAAATAATGGCCAAAATATTTGTTAACATCTGATGTACACTGCCTTTTGTTGATTGAATTGATGTGTTTTAAATTATTCCAGTTTTTGTGGTGTCCATATGTAACTTGTGGAATTTTTTTTGTGGTCATATCATTTTATGGTATTTTGTTGTTATCAATTTCCTTGACCTGTAAGCTGTATCTGTAAGAGTGAGGGATGCGATACTACTCGGTCATACTGTATAGTTGGTAATATTTGTGGAATATTTATTTTCACGGTTATTATGACTATTAAAAATAAGGCATAATTGATTACCCAGGAAACATTTTTATGGTGAATGTAAATCTCACAAAATATCTGTTCTGTCTGTGTACATTGATAGGAATTGAAAGACAAACACAAAAATAAATAGCTGTAAAGTATGCCAAACTATGGTTCTGCAAAATATGAGCCCCTTGAAACTAACAACTGTGCAGTATGTCAGACTTACTCAAGTGCCAATTTGATCCTGTTTGAAAAATATTCTGGTACAAACTGTACATTACTGTATCAGTCCTTTTATTTAATGATTAAGAATCTCTGAAAAAAACTACTTTATTACTGAAGATGAATATTAAGATTTTTTTCTTGATGTTCCTTAGTCAATCACCATTGGTTGTAATTGGTTTTTTTTTATTATAATCCAGTTAGTGACTACAAAGTTATCCCAGAGTTGTCAGTATATTGAAGAATGTGAGAACGTGCCACTTTGTATTTAGATGACAATATCGACATGTTTTTTCCAAAAATTTGTTCTTAAGTTTCCATTTAATTGTCAGACAGAAATAGATCTGGCTGCTCCTCCGGAATTTCCCTATGTACGGAAAGTCTTGAATCTGTCATAAAAGATTATAATGAATCATCACCAACACATACATCAATGCATGAAACCTAAACATTAAAACTTCAACTTCTGAATATTGAAATGTGTCGTTTGAGCTTACACTTGTTGAAAGTGAATTTCCTCTGTGCTACAGATATGACTACAAAGTTATTAATACTTTTGTGATTTTAAGAAATGTACCTGTCTAGTTGTTTGTAATAATTCTAAGCAACTTCTATTTGTTGTGCTTTGGTTTATTTGTGCTTGGCCTGTTGTGATAATTGTTCAATATGTTTAATTGAAGTTTTGCAATATGTTTGTTGATTTTGATGTCTCATCATTTTGGTTTGGTATTGTATATACTGGTATTCATCATGCTAAATCACAAAGTTATTTTTCTGCTCTGATATAAGTGATTGTGTAATTGTTGTGGCAGATTTGAATTTGATCTGAATTTTATATTAAAACAGTGCAGTTAACTCCACTGCTCTGGTGTAAATTTATGTTTGAAGGACATACAACAAATGATGACTTTTGCTATTTGAAAAGGTAGACAACATGTGATGACTTTTTGAGAAGAACACAAAAATTATGACTTAATATGCACAATTATAAAAGACACATTTGAAAGGTGGGCAAGAATGAACAGTATTATTTGATTAATTTTATTTGGAATTTTAGAATGGTAAATAGTTATACTCAAGGCAGATAACTCAAATCATATGTAGAATGAAATATGAACCAACAAAGATATGTAATACTTAAAGGTTCAATTACGATGCCTTGCCAGGTATATATATGTATCAGTTTTTGACAAAACTACTTTAAGGTAATCCTGAAAATTTAATTTCTCCTGAAAACAACATGGCAGGGGTTTGATGCATGTGGTGTTATTAATATTATATATTAGATTTGTTTTCAGTTCCTGAATCTTTCTGGTGATGTCAAATCCATGTACCATTTTGTCTTTATGTTGCATGAAAACATCCGACAGTCTGTGCAGAAAATTTAGGATGTATTCAGTTTTGTTTCCTTTATCAAATGATGTTTAATGATCATGAAATGAAATATTCCTGTGTTTCAAAATGTGCACATTACATGTACAGTTGTACGTCTCATTCTCAAAGTGTAAGGTCATTTTTAAGCTTTTTCTGTCGTCTAGGCAGAAGGTCATGTCTTAGCTCTACAACTACCAAAGTGGTTCATGTTTTATGATTATGACACTAAACAAGTGCAATTGTTAGTATCACATCAAAATTGTTTGTTTTCATCACCTAATTGATGGTTTCAGTTTTCAAGTGTTTGCAGAAATTAAGCTCTTTGATTGTGGCTTACAGCATTATTTTAGTATTCTTGAATATCATATCTAAAATTTCCTTTATGTTGTTCAACTAATTTGTACATCAATACTGTCATCAGAGGCAGAATGATTCAGTAAAAATGTTCAGTATCTACAGCAAAAACCATCATCAATAAACTTATTTCTTCAGCTACTTTCAGTACCTGTCAGGATTGCTGCCATTCTAAATGAGCAGGTAGCTAGCATTTATGCTTTGAAAAATATTAACTTATTAGTTTTAAAATCTGAAATTTTTAATAAAACTCGAGACTTACAACTAGAAAATACTGGTCAGAAAAAGGTATTGTGTAAAAATATGATTATTCTTAGTGAAGACAAGAATATTATTTTGGTCAATTACACTGTTGAAAAAGCAGTAAAAAAAAAGCACAATGATATATTAAGGAAGTTTTACTATATCAATACTGCTAGTCAATGGCACTTTGGAAAATTTTCTAACAGTAATGCAATGTTAAGCTATTATAACCTATTAATAACAGTTACATATTACACAAACATCAATTGCTATTGTTAATTCTCCTAACTTTTCATTTAGACATATACACAATGTACATTTGAACATTGTGACTTGGTTATTGGGGGTATTTTTCATTCTTCAGTTACAACTGGTTTATGCAGAGAAATGTTCTATATTTAGACTTCCCTATGGTTTCTTACTTTCACTTTACATAAGGTTTACATTGTCATTGGAATTGGCGGCCGACTTTCACTTTATATTGTCAAAATGTTTATTTTCTTTAATAAATGTAAAGGTCACGACTTCATCATAGGATTCTAGCATATGGATTTTTTATGTATCTTGGATAAATATTTCTTTTGAAACAGTTTGTACCAGACTTTCAGTCATAATTAACCAGATGTACCTTTGCTATTCTATTTGTTAAACATGTGGGTTGATATAATAAAATATGAAAAACAAAAATGATTTTGTTGCTATATACAAACATCTACTGAGATGAAGGCAACTATCAAGTACCTACTATATAGAATATATACTTTGATACCTCAACTGGTAGAGTGTTAGACATTTAAGACTGAGTAAAATCCCAGGTATGTGGAAATGGATCCTTACTAAACTCTGTTTCTCAGATGCCCAGATGGGACTCTTCCACGATTAGTTGTTATAAGGGTTCAGTGGACACTAGGGAGAAATTCTGTCTTATTCTTGCCTCTCGTGAAACTTGCTCTATCTGTCTAGTGTCCAGTACATTGCCAGAGTCAGGCCAACTCTCTCAATCAGACTGTCACATAGGCCAACTTGAGATTCTCTTGGGTACCGTCAATGCAACCGACAACGGTTTGATGCCATTGCTTCAGTTCTATAATACTTTTTGTCTCCCCTTAATAGAATTAAACTGTCAAATTGGACTGTACTATGACCAAATCCCTTTTATAGTACAAAACAGCTATAGTGGACTGTACCTTGTTCATTGTCTCCCCTCTATAGTACACAACAGTCAAAGGGGACTGTACCATGTTCATTATCTCCCCTCTATAGTACACGACAACTAAAGTGGACTGTACTATGTTCATTGTCTCCCCTCTATAGTACACAACAGTCAAAGGGGACTGTACCATGATCATTGTCTCCCCTCTATAGTACACAACAGTCAAAGGGGACTACCATAATCAGTCTCCCCTCTATAGTACACAACAACTAAAGTGGACGGTACCATGTTCATTGTCTCCCCTCTTTAGTACACCACAACTAAAGTGGACTGTACCATGTTCATTGTCTCCCCTCTATAGTACACAACAACTAAAGGGGACTGTACTATGACCAAATCCCCTTTATAGTACAAAACAGCTATAGTGGACTGTACCATGTTCATTGTCTCCCCTCCTAGTACACAACAGTCAAAGGGGACTGTACCATGTTCATTGTCTACCCTCTATAGTACACAACAACTAAAGGGGACTGTACCATGTTCATTGTCTCCCCTCTATAGTACACAACAGTCAAAGGGGACTGTACCATGTTCATTGTCTCCCCTCTATAGTACACAACAACTAAAGGGGACTGAACCATGTTCATTGTCTCCCCTCTATAGTACACAACAGTCAAAGGGAACTAAACCATGTTCATTGTATCTTATACAGATACATAAATTTTATTGAAATTTCTAAACTTGTACACAAACACAAAAAATATACATATTTTGGTAAGAAATTCATGTATTCCAATTACAGGCTACACTTTAATGGCTTAATGTAATAGCTGAACATTCCCATAAACCAAGCATTTATGTATGACCATATCTTAAACCTCTTGCCAAAAGTAGTTGAGAAATAAATTGAGTAACAAATACGCAGACATGATATGCTTAAACCACAACAGAATCTTCAAACTCCATAATGAACTCTATTAGACTATATCCTTAAAGTGACCTGACCTTCCTCATCCCTAATATTTCATGTTGATTCCCATTTTCACTTATTGACCTTTTAACCCCAATAAGAACCTTTATGACTGTTTTTGTGATGTTCATAACCTTTTGGCACATTCATGCTGGTATGAACCTCAGGATTTCAATCTTAGAGTTAACCAAATATATTCACATTCCCCGCCCCCCAAAATTGATTGTTAAACCTCATCACTGATTAAAAATGTTATCCCTGATCAGGGAATATAAACACAAATCAAACATTATTCATTAACAAAATATAATAAGAATATTACTATTTGGCCCACATTGAAATATTTCGTTCCAATCTGAAATATTCATTATTTAAACGTTTCAACATTACATAACATGAATGAATATCACAGGAACTAGGCATATTGATATTATAGTTAAATATTCCTTATAGAAATATGACTGTCACCTGTGTATATATCATAACAAACTAAAGACAAAAAAATAAAGTTATAGAAATATGACTGTCACCTGTGTATATATCATAACAAACTAAAGACAAAAAAATAAAGTTTTTCTTAAGTTGATAACAAGTGTAAACTCAACATTTCAAGACAAAAAAGTAAAACTAAATACTTATAAACCATACATTTTTTATCGTTCAATAAGTCCAGGCTAATAACAAACAATCTCGGCCTAGCAGGAGGTAGAGACTATTCTGTTTCCCAGAGTTATTTCCCTTCGTTCCACTCAATAGAGATTGGCTTCCCATCCGAGTAAGGAGTAATGGTAGGGTGAGGAATTGGAGGGCAAAAAGATATTATTTGTTAGTATTTCTGCAGCACAGCAATAGATATTATACTTTTAAATTTCTAAACAAAAACTTTACAAAACAAGAGGCCCATGTGCCTGTAAAGGCATCTGACTATAAAGACCTATACATAGTCATAGTAGGATCAGTTACAAAATGATTAAAGCAGTTTAGAATATTTTAGTAGTAAAGGCAAAAAAACACTTCTTATTTCAATTTCTCCAAATCCCCCCCCCCCAGAAAAAATTTCATTTGATAATGACCATCTCGGTATCATTTCAGTTTTTCGCTTAATCCCATCCTTAAAGCTTGAGAAGATTAAAATAGGCATTGTCCTGAGAAACAGTGATTGTTACAAAATGGCCACTATAACTGCAATACTGAATTGTGGATAAGGCAGAAAAATAACACTTTGATGGCTTCTCCTGTCCTTGCTTATTATCTACTAGCAACACTAGTGGAATTTGAAAAGAAGCTTAAAATGTGTTTTTGAAGATGGCAGCCATACTGAAGTATGACTGACAATAGTGAAACTTGGGAAGACCTTAAAAATGTGAAAAGTGGCATATGGCGCACTCTGGAAGGTGATGATAACAGACAAAAAAACAATGGATAAAGGTCATTGGGTCAGATGACCTCAAAAGTTGAGATCTCCAGTTTTAAAACTTTTTGCAATGTTACTTAAATTTAGTAATGTTTGTTCTAAAAATAAAATATGCCATCATTAATAAGTAAAAACAATATATATGTACATTATTTCCAAAAAAATATTCAGTTAGGGGCCATAATCTTACACTGCAGACTGGCAGATTTACTGAAATAAACTGAAGACCCTCCAGTCCAAAAGTAGTATGGGGTACGTGTGGGTTTATTACCAGACGAGGACTTATTGGTGGATAAATTTACTACACTAACACAGCTCTCAATGACATCTCCTGCAATTACAGGACTAGTAAAAGTGAGATCATTCACAATTTTCTTGAACAAGTGACAGAAATTTACAGTTGAACTACATGTTATCACTAATTTCTTAATATTATTAGAATATCAATAATAGCCATAACCCATCTAATAAAATAAAGGCAAATTTTCAATATTCCAACATAATTTATCTCCTTTTTTTCAAATTATTTAAAACAACAATCATGTGATTTCATTTTCTTTTCATTATAGTTTATTTCAAAATCCAGTCATTACTTTCAACCATCCTCAATTCACAAAAAAAGGTTAAAAATTTCATCATGGATATTGCAATGGATATAGAAACTTTTAGGTGAAAATCGTCATCAATTGTATGTTACAAAGTATGTCCTTAAAAATCCTGAAAAAGTGCCAAAGATAACAGATATCATGACCCTGTTCTTACCAGGTACAATGGTAAATAATTCCTCAACTCACCGATATGACCATGTATAATGGAATGGAAACTAGTGAGGTACACTACATAAAATTTCATCACATACAAATAATAATTACATATCATATCATAATATATATTATGATTATTATAGTATTACATTTACATATTAATGATTTTTCACAATCACACAGGTTATAGGACACTCAAAATCAATTATATAAATTTCTTGTATAATTTATTTTCTGCATCATTTCATGAGAATAAAATTCTAATCAAAACAATTTACAGAAAGGAAATTGATTTCTATTTATTTCCTGAATGTAATTTTTGTAATGAAGTTGTTTGTCACAAAAATCCATGATTCAAATAATGATATGATTGAATGCGTGCATATACTTGTAAGGGAGATAACTTTTAACAAAATTCAGAGGTCACAACAAAAACAGCTATTGGTACATCAGGAGTTTAACATAAAATATGATATCCCTGATGTCTAACGTACCACATTTTAATTTTTCACATGTGCCAGTAAAATAGTAAAGATAAATCCTCTTTTAATGGTAAAGTGGTTACTCAAATTCTACGAATCCAAATTAGGTTTCTCTTTTGAATTCTTCCTGTGCATGTTGTTAATTGCTATGAGATAAAATTACCAAAAACAAATTATATTAAGAAAATGTAATCAATAGAAATGACTAATGTTTAAATATGAAAATGACATTTGTTACAAGGCCTAAGAAATATTTACCCGGGGTAAACTGTATTTGATATTAAAACAATATGTGTAACATTAAAACAATAACTGTATTAACTTAGTATTATAAAAGATTTAACAAATATTTGGTTCAAAGCTGTTATACATTGAAAAATTTCTGCCTAAATGGGAAGAATTTGGCATTTTCTAAAATGAGACAATACTTGTTTGAAAAATTGTGGACGGATAGGTGTATTACTTGATTGTTACGAAAAAACACAGGAAGTATGCAATCATCATATCATGATAAAGTTGTCAGGATTTTTAAAAAAAAAATCATTATCTTGTACATGTATCATGACATTCAGGTGAAACATCACTGTTGATTTATTGTGAAATCACAGAGAAATATAAGACAGATAATGATGTCACAGTTGAGATAATACCTTTATCCAAAAATGACATTAAATAAATATTTTCTGAAAAAATTTACCAAAAAATTTCCTGACTGTCTATTTCTTTGGTTTGTTGGTACGGGTACATGTAGAATTTTTTTGCATACAATAAGAAATAATTTGATATGTCATTAAGTATGTTTAAAAACATATCAAATTAATCATTTCTATCTCAATAATTTAGGCAGTAAATGATCATTTTGCATGAAGTAGATCATATAAAGATATATCAAGTCATGTATTTACTTCATCTTTTAATTATTTCAATTTCACAAATGACCTTATTACCATTTTTCATTGAGGGCTATCTTTTTTCAAAACTTTTGTCAGCCCAATAAAACCTCCTCATCTTTAACATGAAAATATTGTTCCGGCAGATGATTACATAAAATACATAAAAAATTGTATATTTTTGGGTATGGCCTGCACAAATAGGGTCACATAACAAGCATGTGGTCATATATTACTCTAATTGAAAAGCAATTCTCTATACATATAATGTATCAGAATAAATTTCATTTTCTGTGGAGGGCATTGCTTCTATCTCAAGGAAACAACACCTAATTTCTAAAAACACTTCATCTTTTTAGAATACCCTCAACAGAAAGGAATATCAGAGATTCACAGGTATATTGTTTGTAATCTGAATTACAAGCACCATTAGGAGTTCACACAAAACTACTTTTGAATAGTTACATGGAAATGTTATGAGCACAGCATTATTTAGACTAGTAATACAGTGTAAACAACAGTCTAGAGAACAACAACAACAACAACAACAGTTTAACAAAGAACACTCTAACACAAACATGTTTTCACCCTAAAATTATTATCTGATATTTACAGAGATAATGAAACTTTTTCCATTAACAACTATATTCCATCTACTTTTGATTTCCCAACAAATATCATGTTATAATGCTCTGACAATAACAAAAACAAAAAGATCTTTTCGAAGCACTGACAAAAATATGTTACCCACTTATATGAAAATAAGAGCACAAAGTATAGTACAGATATCATAACCAAGAACAAATTTTAAAAATATATAAACTGATATTTTATCAATGCATTAAAACAAATCCCTTTTAATATTTTCCATAAAAAGAATAAAGAATTACATAAGGCTTGTTTTGTTAATAGAAGAATTTGATAACCTTCAGGTGATAATCCCCTTGGTGGGCCATTCCATTTACTGACCTAAAATAAATTGATAACTGTTATATGGCAAGACATTTAAAATGTCCAGATTATAATGAAAAAAAGTCAGTTTTCAGGCTTCCTTAACAGTTTGTGATGAGATCATCATATCATGGAAATTCCCTGTTACTATTTTTAGTCTAGGATATCAATTTGCTATGAAATTGCAGGAAATCGTCATTTTGTCAAGACCTGTGTTTGATCTCTAGACCAATCATAGAAGAGGGATTTTCTCAGTCATATAACATTTCTACTACGTATAAACTGTATGTATAACTTTCATCTTAATTATGACACAAACACAAAATGTTAAAATATTCTAGTCTACATGTATATATGAACACAAAAAGTTGTCTGGTCTGTACCCTGTGAGACTACAACAGTTTTTTCTTTGATACAATATGCTAAACTTTTGTTCTCAAAATCACATCAATATCAATATGCAAGTCAAAATCAAGGTTTTACAAATAAAATTGTCGATGGCCAGCATAAAATGTGATATCCCCATTCTTGTTTTTCTTGCATAAATACATAAACATGATGCTGTTACAAGGATAGATCTTAGTACTGTAGACTGTGCCACTTGTTCCATTTCTTCACTTTGATTTGAAATAGGATAAAATAAAAGATGTCAAAAAATATAACCAATTATGATACTGGTAATATTATAAGAAAACTCCATAAGACATAAATATGAACATTTTATCACTCCATGTGTTCTCTAATAAGACATACAGTAACAATTTCTTATTGAAGATAGCAACAACAAACAACACCATTAACATGATGATTAATGTCAGATTATTTTTTCTGCGTATTTAACTTGTCGTTGATAAAGATGCTGTAAACTACCATCATCCAGAGGACAAAGCCAAAGAAAAAGAACGAGAGGTTGACATCAAATGGTGGTCCCAACTTCTCGGCACCATATCCAATAGACCATGCAAATATGCTTCCTCCTACAGCCGGAGCAAGTGACCTGTAACAAGAATGAATATGTGATACACTAACAACCAGATTAATGGATCAGTCCAGGCTCAAGTTTCACGAATCATACTTACTTATGGAAATCTTATCTACCATAGAAAAACATTACATAAGTTATAGAAAAACTTCAATTTTGAGGAATTTCCTTAACAAGTACAATGCTTTCCTATGGGAAATTCTAAGTTAAGGAATATTCCTTAAGTTAAGAAAGATTCATGAAACAGAGGCCAAGAAAATTGGGATTTATAAATAGGAATATAGCAAACCTTAGTTGTTTTGTTTTACTGAAAATTCAGGTCTCAAGGGCAACAAATGATTAGAAATACTGTATCAATTCCTTTTGCTGGATAATTACATACAAGATGAACCACTATACCAGGGGAGGAATGCAAGCTGTAGTGGCTATCCAATGTGTAAAACCTACATGCTTCTTTGTTTAAACAATTACTCTCTTTTATCATGTCCAGACACCTGCATGACCATATGGGGCTTCCTCTCCAAGCCCTCCAGTTTGAAATAGCTTGTTTCGCTAGTACTGTAAAATACATACAATTTATAACCACCAACACATTGTGCTTCATTTCATAAAATGTGAATGCCAAGATCTCACCTTGCAAAAGCTGTCATTGTCATAGCGATGCCATTGACAGCTCCGGCCCGATTGGGTGGGGCAGAATTGTTGACAAATAAAGAAGAGGCACTAAAACAACATGCAGTGAGAAGCTTCTGTGGGAGCAAGATCATTACGACCAAAACCATCAGCACTGTGTCTCTGCATAAGAAACAAAACATTGTGAAGATATGATTTTAAGTACAACTCACATGAAATTTTTTTTTTTAATTCTTGTCCACACAAATCTGTGAATGTGACTTTTTCCAGAAAAGTGAACATGTAACAGTGGTGATTTCTGAAGCTTTCAGTCTTTCATTACCAATAATTAACTCTTCAATATTATCAAATATCGGTGTCTTTTAATAATAAATTCTGGTGTGATTTCATGTTAGGGCTATTCCATTGAAACATCTATCCCCTAATTTTATTCATGAGAACCAACTCTGACTTTAACTGACAGTTTGCATAGAAGTAATAGATAGGAAAACCAAACAATGGCTACAAATGTTTTATTTTAGAGCCCTTAAATCAAGCAAATATTTTACTAGAAAAGTCCTTATCATTTAACAGACTTGGTGTACTTTTGAAATAAGCATCTGGATATTCAAGGTGTTTTTAAGTCTATAACTATAAAATAGGGGGATGGTGTCACAAAGCATTGCCAACCATGTCCGTCATGTTCCGTACAGATTCAATGTAAGCACCTAGCACCTTCATTCTTTTACAGACTTTGAACACTGTTGTGTTTCAGTGATCAAACGTCAATGCCTTGGGGGCGGGGGATTTTTAAAGCTACTATCTAGCTTTGTTTCTTGCTTGTCTGGGATTTTTTTATGGAATTGTTTTGTATCAGTTATATTTACAGATACAAAGGACATACTTACTGGTTTTGTAGAAGATGTAACATTGGCATCACAGTTACTACCACCATAAGCACCAAGGTACAACCAGCGAAGGTCTGAAACCAGCAATTCAAGAAAGTGTAGCTTCAAAATCCAATCGTTTTAAAATCAACCGCAATATCACCCATATAATTTTTACAAACATGTTTTTATTCTTCACATTAAGTATTATAATTTCAATCAAATTGAAAATAATTTTATCAGAGCAAAGTTTTGTTTCTATATACAACTATAATAAAACCAAGCATTTTTATGGTTGTACCTACTTTTTTCAGACCAAACTTGTGGGCCAGGAAGGGAAACAGAAAGAGATTAAGCACTAGTAGAGGTAAAGATGATATCCCGATCACTGCTCCAATCCTATCTGGGGCATAGTTTAACCCATCTGAACAAAAAAATGAAACAACACATGTACCAAGGATACTTTATTTAGGAGAATTATTCCCTGATCTATGTTAATATATAAATCATAATAAAATCATTTATGATGATGATAACTATGACCAATTAGAAAAAAGTATACTGAGCAGTAAATAAATCGAAAATTAATTGAAGATGTTTGAACTATATTTAGTTAATACTGTAGGTTTGTATCTGTACTCACCAAATCTGTGTTCTGTGGAAGCCCAGACAGTGAAGATTTCCTCAAACCCGATCATGCCAAATGAGAAAACTGTGTAAACCATGACAGCTTGTCGAACATCTCCCATTCTGTAAAAGGCAAACTTAAAAATAACTGGTTATTTCCTTTTTGATAAATTCATGATATGTATTAAGGATGTATGCTATCTTCATTTTCTTATTTATTTAAGAGTTATCAAACTTACATTTCTAGACTTTACTTGATTCTAGCTCTCTTTGTTTTCGTATAAAATCTGCTTTTCTAGAAAAACATGGCAAAATAACAATCAAAACCTTCTAAAAGATGACAAAAATTTACCTGAAAAGTGTCACTAAGTTTGTGTTTTTTATAGCACTTAAGCATCCAGAAGGCTGTTCCTTTTTACTCCCCTCCTGTTGTATCTCTCCATTACAAGAATCTTCCACACCCTTTGACAAATGTACATTGTTACTATTATCATGAGTACTTTGACTTCTTGATATGCTCAATTCATGACTTGATTTTGAAATCTGTGCCATATCAACAACAAAATTTTCCTTATTTTTCAGCAAATCTACTGGCAGATGACACAAAGACAGACTTTTTTTCCTGTGGTCAAGTGATAACATTTGTCGAAGTTCCTCTCCCAGAATTCCTTGGTGTCCTGTCTGAGCCTCTTTCTGAAATAAGTAGGTCCCAGCTTCAGCTTCACAGTGTAGATTCTCTACTGACAAAGCTATTTTTGGTTGTGAGTAATCTTCATTGTATCCATCTGGTAGTTTTGACGAGTCATTTGTAAGGGCAGTCAAAGCCTCTTCTTCCTCTGTACTCCTATCATTTGTGTTCTTTCTATGAGTAGAAAAAACATGGGAAATATTTAAAATTGGTTCATGACATACAAATATTTTTTTCAATACTGTACAAAAGATACCTAAGTGAACAGTAGTACTTTTCAACACCAGAAAAATAATGAATCAATTCTAACCTTTTCTTAGGGAACACACGATTAGCATCTTAAAAGCTAAGCTGTATTTTTGGCGAAAGTGATAATGACAAAAGTGGCAAGCCTCTGGCAATATAGTTCCAAACTTCATCTGATATAACAGTGACTTTATGGATTTTCATAGATCAACATGTTCATTACAACATGTAAAATCACTTATTTCAACAACTATGTATATTTCTAACATAATATTTAAGTAAATTCAGAGAGTGATTCTGTTGAATTACTACACACGCTAAATTACAGCTGTTTTCGGTCACTACCAAATACAGCAAAAATGTATGTGGCATATGTATTCCGGCAATGGCAGTGCCATTTTCAGGATGAAACAGTTTCCTTGGCATATCAAAAGTGTATTACTAATGAAAATAAAAGACAAACTATCAGATCACGAGTGTCAAACTTTACAAGAACTTTACAAACTCAGATCTACTTACTTTGAATTAAGAGTCTCTGGAAGCATGAAGAAATCCAAGATGTCCACCAGTACACAAATGATGAAAATGATCATGCTTGGGAGAAGATACGGGAACGTTCCAAACACGCCATCAGCTGAGAAGGATTGTGGGTAACGTTTCACGGGAGAAGCAAGAAGTCCTGTGGAGAAAAATAAAATTTTGGATTGATTTCACAACCAGCTATCTCAGATATAGTGCACAGTGGATCAGAACTGGTTGTATATGTTATAGAAAGAATATGATCATTTAGCCAGGGACAGCAAAACACAGGTTTTCCTGATTTTTCTTATTGAAATCAATGCTTTAGAGAGTTTTGATCATTTGGAATATGTTTTAAAAAAGCAAAATATGTTGAAAAAAAGCTTGTAAGCTGTTTGATTCTATCTGAACAGAATTTACCCTTATAATTTTCATAAAATGTTCTTTAAATGAAGCATTCACATCCAGAAAAGCTATCCACTAAAAAGAACAAACAGCTATTTGTTTATCAAAGCCCTACACCAGATCACCAAAATTAGTCAGTTCTTTATACTGAGGTGTGAGTATTGTCAACATTTATGTATTTCCTACTGCGGACTGGTTAGCTGTGATTGAAATTCCAAGAAATTACAAATTACATTGACGGTATGGGATAGATTTTCATTTTACTGTTTATTCAGTACTAGAATATGTCTCCCTACTGGGCACATGTATGACGATTTTTCCCACCTTGGAAAACTAAGGCAGGGTTCTCTACCCTATTAATATGGCCTGTTATGTCCTCATTCCAAAACCCCCCCCCTGCCACAGTTGCCATGATTGATACATTTAACCAGCGTATACTCACCCCCAGCAGTAGGACCAAGGACGATCCCTGCTCCCCAGGCCACAGAAATGATCGACATCCCCAGGGCCTGGTTAGTGTTGTCACAGATCTCATACAGAACAGTTTTAGCCGTCCCCACCGTACCTACAAAATGACACATTAGAAGTTGCTAAGATCAAACAACTCTGTGAATACCTTTCTGCAACATATTATTTGTATTTAATAAAAACCTATTACCTGAAATTTGATCAAATTTTATTCATATCATGATGATTCTAAAGAGGATACCTCTTTCGTAACATAATAACAAAATTTGAAAGAAAGATAACTTCAAAATTTCATCATTTTTCCCAGAAGTAAAAGAGATGATGAAAATATTAAATACAGAATGTGATCAATCTAAGGTCTGATAGCAGATGTTCCTGGCCATTTAGGACTGATATTAAGTGCCAATACATTTCTGTTAATTTCATTTCTGAGCTGCTTACCATTAGCAAGTCCAGTCAGGAAGCGGGAAATGATAGCCATTGGGAGATTGTAGGTAAACCCAAACACGAAAGAGAAAAATCCATTTCCAAATATAGTGATCATCATAACTGGGCGTCGTCCATATCTGTCTGACAACCAGCCCCAGAAATAACTGTTAATGAAATCACAGCAGAATTTTTGTAAAGTTAGATGATAGTGACATTCTACCCAAAGGATGGGCCAGTAGTTTACCTTGGACACCGCCTTCCAATCATTTTTAATAAAAAAAAATGTACAAGAAAAAATGTGACTTGTGTAGAAAGACCAAAAACATTAATGCAGAACATTTTCTACAAGTTGGAATAAAAGTCCTTATAACACAACCAGTAGTAGTGTTTGAGATGGTAGCTGAATTGACAACAACATATTGTTATAATCTTGTGTTTTTACTGTCTATAATCTGTTTACCACCTCATCTCACTATCAGTTGATTCCTTACCATCTTGTACACAACTCATAATGTACGCTAGTACTAGAACTCTCCACATTGGTTATTTGTCCGATGAAGGTGACCATGTAGTCATCGAAACGTCACACTCTAATCTTCTACTGGTTGTGTTATAAGAAATTCTATTCTATTAATGCAGATGATTCAACAGATGTAGCTTTAACTGTTAATTTTCTACTAGAAATGCTATTGTCACATAACAAACTTCCACACTTCCATCCCAGACAGTTACTGACCTTCCAAAAGCTCTCCCCGCAAATACAGCAGATGCCACCAAACCAGCATAGTATCCCTTGTCCTCTTCTTCATAACCAAACCCCTGTCACAGAACAAAATTATAATAAAGCTTATCAGAGTCAAATGTTACAATTTATTTTCAAAAAGGATTTATCATAAAAGAAAAATAAGGGTACAGACATAGATGCTTTCATCGATTCTTTTCATTGGATTCAAAATATTCTTTTAATATACTTTAATATAATCCTACTCAATCAAAACATGCATTTATTGATTTGTGAGATGATACAACAGTTTCCTGTCGTTAAAAAGATGTTATTTGTAAGTAACAGCTGTATTGCATCTGGTGACATTATTTAGTGATATTTTGATAAAAGAAACAGTAAAAATTTAATACATTATGTACGTACATTATACAGTATTTAATCTGCAAGAGATTTCAAGACATGGGAAGATTTTTTACCAAAATCATTTGCCTGTTTATCTGATAATACTTCCCTTATATCTCATGAACCATGTAATTTTATAAAGTAATTTAGTTAAGAAAGATGAATGTATAGTTAGAAATTTGTCATGTATACCATTCCTAGGTTATGATAAGGTTGAGCGATCAGATATCAACTTACACTTTACCAGCAATATACGGCTAATGCTACATTAGTTAACTAATTACTATTGCACAAGTCAGCGTAAGTGAAGCCACGTAGATTATATGTAAGCAATGTAGCAATATTCATCTATATACCAGTAACCTATGTTACTTATATAACACTTGTTTGTTCCATCCTATCTAGCTAAAGATGGTTTACCCATCTGACCTCTATCTGTTATTAAGTATAAAAGAAAGCCCTACCATGGGTATAATTATCAATCCTCATTGTAGGTATAAATGTATTAACTACACTGATACAATCCTCATTGTAGGTATAAATGTATTAACTACACTGATACAAGTAAACTGGACTTGATTTATTCCTACACAACAATACACAGAAGTATTACCCTTCAAACTTATACAGTGTATTACTCTATGGCAGCTGATTAAACCGCTATATATCCATCACTGAATACGTAATCTAACGTGTTCAGCAGTAAGCCTACAAAACTACTTATATGTAAACATTGAGTGATTTGGATTTTTAACAGGAAAAAGATGAATGCAATTTTCAGGCATTTCTACTGGAACTATATCAGCTGTTAGTTGGCTTGTCATCAGATCATGGTTTATTACCAGACAAGTACAGCTATAAACTTTTTATTTTTTCTAATTTACATCAAACCACCTGATCAGCTACATCATTTTATAAAATCTCTGACGAAGGATATCATCGTAGCACCATTTTATTTACCACACAAATGTAGTATTGTAACACTGGTCTGGTTGTTAACAAATCAATAAACCTTGGCTTGGTAGAAAGTCGTCAGATATTGAGATTAATGATTAATAATAATAAGTAATCTCTGTCCACTAGACTTTTATTGAAGGACAGTAATTACCTAGATATTTAACAGTAACTGACCATTATATGATAAAACTTACCACGATCATTTCTGGCAGGAAAGGAAACAGGAAAGTCAAACTAACAGCACTGCAAAACTGGAAAAAACAATCAAAATTCATTCAAACTCTACAAAAAAAACCAAAATGAAAAATGTTTCTGACACAGAATTGTGATAAGTGCCCACCAAGACACCAGACTTTGTTAACATTTCATATAAATGACATTATGTAAGAAATCTAACCTGATACCTGGCATTAAGGGTTTCATGACATAACTTACGATGCATTCTTGTAGTTATTCGGAAAATAATTGAGATATCTTTGTAACACAAAACATGCTTACTAATGAAACAAAGACCAAGAAGACATGTCTCCAATTCAGTGGGGTTGCGTTTTTATCTCCAACACGGATCTTGTCCTTCATCGTCATCCATAATGAAGATTTTCTTGGTATCACATCATCATTGTCGCCTTTGTCTTCGCTGTTGTCATCCAAATTGGAATGAACACCATTGGTAGCAATTTTTGTATCACTTTTCTCCATGTTTCTCAAATTTATTACAACACTGTAGATTTGCAAGTCCACAAATAAAACATCTTTTGTCTGCCTTTAAAAAATCTGTGATTTCTTCTAAGCATCTGGAATAAAACATTTCAAAAGATTACGTTAAATGAGATGGAATAAGCTCCCGAGTCATTTGTGTGAGCACCAAGACTGGATCTGGAGAATTACTATATAGCATCGCTTTCAGTTAAAATATGAAATTATGAAAAATTGTTGTCAGAATCCTTTAACTGAAATCTAAAGATTTGTGGAGTCTGGAAAAACAATGATAACACTGTGGAAAACAATCCATAAAACAAAGACAATAATATCAAGTGATCACAGATCTGTCAGATTTTTAAAAGCAGGCACGATTCCGCAGACCTTAGAAAACTATGTTAGATAATTCAAACCGTACTGTTTAAAATTATTACCAAACTACAGTCCTGAATTCTACATAAATATTCCAGGTATGTCTCAGGTTGGGCTAATTATATATGTATATCCTGTAATGTTTTACATATCAGTACATACATGTATATATTTATATGCATACGGTCATCTCACACATCTGGTCTAGAAGTGTACCTGTTTCCAGACTGGACTGACGTATTTAACTGCATCATTTTCATAATAGCACATTTGTCACATAACATATCTCTCTACACTTTGTTATCTGAACTGAACTGTGGGTCAAGTGTACAGTATCACCCACCCACCTGGTTTCATCAGGTAAACCTGATATTTGCGCTAGGATCAGACTGACCCAGTAAAATCTTGGAAATGCAGGAATCACCCGATATCTATTGAATCTTGCTCAGTACTTAAACATCCAGAATCAGTTTCTGGATCTAATATAGTCAGAATAATGTTTAAACATACCATAGAACATAAATACATACAAATATGGTAACCACAATGTAATCGATAATATGGTCTTTTTATCTGACGACCCATTAAAACACACATCGCCCATGATTTTGAAGGTCATGGCCATATATTAGATTACTAGAGGTTGTTATCACCGAGTGTGCTCTTTTTTATTAAGGATATAGATAGTTTATTCATTTTGTATCATCAGGTATCAGACATGTATATACTGCTCACAGCAATACATGCATATACATAACACATTCATAGCGTCCTTAAATTTGTTCATTTGCATGGTTTATTGCCTTGTAAACAGCTTCTCATTATAATGGGGGTCTCTCCACAGTAGCTAGTAGCTACCTCATTGATCAACATACATGTGGCCAGTCACAAGCCGTCCAGGGTAATCAAAGTAAAGTGCCTTTCCCAAGGACACAACCACATAATCGCAGACCAGTCTGTTTATCGGCTTCGAAAGAAAAAGAAATCACCTAGGGTACAAAGTTTTGAGCAACACACCTTTATCTTCACCTGAGGTTACCTACATGCTCTAACCCATTTACCTATCTCTCCATAAGCTATGTAATACAGAAAATGTTTGAGATCAATATTTAATGTGTTCTGTAATGATACAGATTATATATGTATTTTCAAGTTTTGATGCTATTACATTTTCAAAATCATATTTGAAATTGTTCATTTTTAGTATTGTCCATATAAGGAATTCTTTATTTATAAATCAATTCAAAGGTAAAAATGTATCTAAAATCAGAAATTTGTGAGTAAACATGTCCATATGGATATTTCAAATACCACAATTCCAGATTATTTACCAACAAACTAAACTGATATTACTACACACATGTCAAATTAATTTATAAACAAACTGAAACCATTCACATGTTTTACATTGCATGTTTAAATTTATCATTCAGAAACACAGCAAACCTGGTCTGTACTACTACAGTTTTAAATAAGTATATACAACTTGCTGAATAAAAAAGACACTTACCTACATATTCACCATCAACAGCCAAAATATATATATAAACCAGCTCTGACGTTTATCAAAATATATGTTGATCATTAAATTTACATATAGATCTATATAGATTATGAATTGTATTTCTCTTCTTTAAGATACTGTGTATGCTTAGTCTAATCATCAGGATACAGACATTCGAGATATATCTCTTAAAGTGTGCTGATAAAAATGTCGCTGAAATTTTAGTAGTTGTTGCATCAGTTTTGAAAGGTGTATTTTTCCATCGTCCCATTTCACAGCGATTGCAACATGTACAATATTTATCTAAAGTGTAACCATACCAGGATGTTTTCTTTTTTTTTTTTTTAGATGGAAGATTTTAATGCCCCAGAAACTTAATTAATGAGGGTCTGCCAGGGTTGTGGCCCTGGGGTCAGACTCTGTACAAACATGTTGTCCTCTCACAGGAGGGCTATCTATCATCACACACACTATCACTACATACATTTCACTTACACAGCCTTTCACACTCATTTTATTACAATGGCTATGGAATGAAATCTGGTTAGGAATAAATACCTGTTAGTTTTACCTTACTTGTACCTCATTCATTCCCTTACACTCACTCATCATTGCTCATTACAGTTACTAATTCATTTTCTCACTCACACTTCACAGTCTTCCACCCATTCCCTGATATACAATGTACTGGCAATGCCATTGGAAATTAATATATTAAATTCTTTAGATTAGAAAATGAATAAAGTGAGCTGACTGCATATGGATTGGATTAGAGCCCCCTCTGACACAGCTCATATATAAATGATAACAGCTAATTAAATAAATCTTTTACACTGCATTGCATAGCCCTTTCATATTTATTTACAGTGTGTAAAATAAAAATAATAGATGAACACATAATCTTAAAAATTTTAATGTGTACGTTATTATACACAATGCATGAAAATGATGTATGGGGAGAATTCTCTTACATTATGGATTATTTGTTTTAATTGTTTAGAATTATTGTGAATATTCCCCACTTGTTTTGAAATTTTGATTCTAAATTATGTTTTTTTGCAATATATTTTTCTACTTTCAAAACCCGAGTGAAATACAGTTTACATGCTTGGAAGGATGGTAGTTTATTTTTAAATTTACATGAATAAATGTGAAATTTCAACATTACGAGGAAGTGGTTTAATCTTTGACTAAAGTTTGCATTACCAAATATTACATCAGTGGCATTTACTACAAGATCATTCTGGGTATTATCATTTTCAGAGTACCACATAATAAATTCTTCTAATAATTCATTTGTATAATAACAATAGTATAGAATGTGTTCCACTGTTTCTTCCTCTCTATTGCAGAATGAACATAAATTATCTTGTTCTATATCGATTTTAAATAAAAAGGATTTAGTAGGTAAAATTCTGTGATGTATCTTATACTGAAAGGCCTGTAGTTTAGTTTCTCTAGTATATTGAAAAACAGAAGCATAAGTATCAAATATGAAATTTTCCCTTAGATCTAATTTGGCTCTCCATTTATCCTGACTCGTGAATGGATTAATAAACTTTTTATCCAAGAAGATTTTGTAAATAAATTTCAAGCATGGAGAGGTCTTTATTTTATGAATTACATTGGTAGTTTTACACAATTCTACATTTTCCCCCAAAAAACTCCTTCGATATTCATCTTTCCACCTCTGATTAATTTTGTTTACAAGAGAATAAAATTGCAAAAATCCTAAATTTGGAATATCCTGAACATCCTGATATCTTTTTAAATTACCATTCTGAAAAAGATCCTTTATTTTACTAAAGCCAAACCGTTTCCAGCTGATACCCAGGTACATTTTGTTGTGTGGTAGTAGGTTAATTAAATCTTCACTTAAATATTCTTCTAGACTATGAGACTCATTTTGGATCTCTGCTAAGGCAAATATGACATCTTTCCAAAACTTGTTCTTAATATGTTTTCCTATATTTTCAAGAGAGTGTGAGTTCAGCTGAAAAGCAATGTTTGGATCAAGTTTCAAAATATCTGGAACTAAAGTTTTCCATGGTACTGATTCATTTTCCAGTAATCTTTTTAACCATTTCAATTTCAAGTTTTTGATAAAAGAAATAATATGAGTCATTTTTAGGCCTCCAACTTCAAGCAAACCAATCAAAGTATCTCTCTTAATTTTTTCAACTTTATAATTCCATATAAACTTATACAGTATGCTGTTAAGCTGAGTTAAAATTTTTGATGACGGGTTTGGGATCGAGCTGAAGATATGTACATATGTAGGAATGATTATTGATTTTACCACTGTTATTCTGCCAAGTAAAGAAAGATCTCTTTTGGTCCAGAATTTCAATTTACGTTCAGTGTCTTTTAATCTATTAGAATAGTTCAATCTTTCCATATCTTCCAAGTTCAGAGAGAAAACTATTCCTAACAGTTTGAAGTTCCTTGTAGACCATGACAGGTTAAGATCTTCACAGATTTTTTGTTCTGAAAACTTTTTGCTACCTAACCAATAAACATTAGATTTTAAAACATTAATTTTCAGACCTGATATGACAGCAAATAACCTTAGTACTTCAACAGTTGCATACAATGATTGACTTGAGCCATCTAGTAAAAGATATGCATCATCTGCATACTGACCTATGAGGAAAGTTTTACCACCTATCTGTAGAGGTTTAACATCAGGATTAGTTTTTAGAGATATTGATAAAATTTCAACACCTATAATAAAAATATATGGTGACAATGGGTCGCCTTGGCAACAACCACGGTGAAGACTGAAGAAGTTTGACAGATAACCATTATTAATTACACAACTTTTTGAATCCTTATATAAAACTCTAAACCATTTTCTAATAGATTCCCCGAAATAAAAACTTTCCATGGCCTTATCAATGAAATCCCATTCTATCGAATCAAATGCTTTTTCGAAATCAATTAGATACAATAGTCCAGGCTTATTTTTTTCTTCCAAGAGCTGCATTAAATCATAAAGTTGTCTAGTGTTTTCCCCAATAAACCTACCCTTAATGAACCCAGTTTGAGTATTGCTAATGATATCCGGTAATAATGGCTTAATCCTATTTGCGATTGCAGCAGCTGCTATTTTATAATCAACATTTAGTAACGATATGGGTCTCCAATTTTTTATATACCTTCATCCCTTCCCTCTTTTGGCAAGCATGTAATAATACCTTGACATTGAAAGTCTGAGAG